GGTTGGAGATGCTTATTAAGTTTCTGAGTGGAACCGAGGGAGATAAAGATCGAGAGCTGTCGGCACGGAGCTGGTGCTTCTGAGTCTGGAGGCTGGACAAGGTCACCCAAGGAGCGGCGTGGAGGGGAGGCCCAGGCTGTGCCTGAGAGCAACCAGGGTGGGGAGGACCTGGCAAAGGAGGGGCCCGGACTGGAGGAGAAGCAGTGGCTGGGGGGGTCTTCTTTCTGACAGCAGGCCCAGTGCTCAGATGGGGGTGGGGGCTGAAGGGAGGCTCTCTGCCTTCTCCGTGCTTTGCGTTCGGTGGTTGAAGGTGGAGGCCTGGGCCTAGGTGCTGCGGGGAATCGGTATTTGCTCCACACACACACCATGTACAGGGTGGTGCGTGGTGCACACATGGTCTCCTTGGGCCATTGTAGCTACATTGGGGGAAGGTTGTCCCCTGCTTTTTTAGGAGAGGGCACCAGGGCTGAGAGCAGTCTGTGTCCCATGCACAGTCACATGTCTCAGTCAGCCCGGTTCCCAGGGGCCAGGCGCCGCATGTCCCTCAGGTGTGACAAGAGCATGTCGTCTGGTGGAAAAGATGGCTGTGCCAACGTCTGCACAGTGTGGTGCCCACCTCCATGGGTGCCCGTGGTGGAGCCCTGTGGTAGCAGGAAGGAGCAGGGATGTGTGTGAGCTGCTGGGGAGGATCAGGAGATGCTCCCCAGGTGGTGCGGCCTCTGGGCCGGGGTGTGGAGGCTGAGTGGAAGTGGAAGACAAAGTGACATCCCGAACAGGGTTTCCTGTGAGTCACCGGAGCTCAAGGGGCCTCGCAGGAGAGCAAACTCGGGGACAGGTTCCTGCTGCCCTCTCAGTTCGGGGCCCAGTCCTGTTCTCTGCCAGCCGGCAGGCCATCCCTCACCAGGACAGCTGGCTGGGCCGGAGGGCAAGTGGTCACCTGTATTTGCGTGCAGAGTCAGGGAGGCCCGGCCTCGAGTGCCAGAAACCGAGCGAGGGTCTCTGGGGGTGAGCCCTCTGCTGGCTCGGGGTGAAGCGCAGGGTCTTGTGAGGAGACGTGGTCCGTGAAGCCTCGCCTGGTGCGGGTCTGAGCCCGCACCGTCCTCTCCCACGTGCCAGGCTGACCGACCATCCCGCATCTGCAGACGGTGGAGCCCACCTGGCCAACCCTGTGGGCCCAAGTCTGAAACGTCTTCTCAGTTTTTCTCTTTTTTTGGCATCTACTCATGGTATTTATTTACTTGTCTGTCAAGTTGGCAGAGATTCCTTTAAATTGCAGTAGTTGATCTACAGTGTTGTTAGTGTCTGGTGTACAGCATAGTGACTCAGTCACACATATACATTATATATTCTTTCATATTTTTCATTATAGGTTGTTTCAGGGAAAGACAAATATCACATATCACTTTCTTCTTGATTTTTAAGACTCGAAGAAGGTAGTGCCGACCTGAGGAAACGAATGTCACGGCTAGAAGAAGAGCTGGACCAGGAGAAGAAGAAGTACACGATGCTGGAAATAAAGCTGCGGAACTCGGAGCGGGCGCGGGAGGACGCGGAGAAGAGGAACCAGCTGCTGCAGAAGGAAATGGAGGAGTTTTTTTCAACCCTGGGAAGCCTGACCATTGGGGCCAAAGGTGCCAGAGCCCCACAGTAAAGGAATGGGGGGAACTCGCTTCGTGCCTCGTGGCGCACCCTCCCGTCGGCAGGGAGGAGGAGCCAGAGCCTCTGCAGCTGGGACCTGGGCCTCTGTGGTGCCCAGAGATGCAGAGCCGGCTGGAGAGGGAAGTCCTGACACACACCACCCCAGCCCTGGGATGCTGGGGGGCACCGTCGGGAGCCCGAGCTCCGCACGGGGTCTGGATGCAGCTCTGACCACGCAGGCTGTGGCAGGCATCAGAGGGGACAGTCCCGTGGCCACCGAAACAGACGGCACCCGGGATCTGAGTAGCCCCCTGGGAACCTTTTGCATTCTTTATTAAATCTGCTCTGAAAGCATGATGTCTGGATGCCTGACTCCTTTTTTACCGGCACGTAAAGTGAGGGTTACCAAGTGACCTCCTCTGTTTCTCACAAGGTTGGGAGTCTTCAGGGTGTCCCATGGGTGGAATGGCAGGGGGTCTTCAGGAGTGGGGTGTGAGGCTCCTTTAGGGAACACCCAGCCTTGTCATGGCCACTGAAGCTGGCGGTAGGTGCATGTGTGTGCTCTCAGCTCCACCATCTGTGCTCCAAGCAGGAGGGTTACTCCCCCCTACCTACTGAGGGTTCCCCGCCCCCCAACTCCCCCCACGTCCCCCTGCCTGCTCTGAGCCACCTGCAGCTGGTCTGTCCTAGCATTCCTCTTCGGCCTCCACCATAACCTGCTTTCCTTCGCTTGGCCCCAGCCCTGCTCCAGAGTCAGAGCCTGAGACAGAGCTCAGCCTGGATGCCGCACCCCCTGCTCCTTACGTGCAGGGTGACGGGGCGTGTGTCTAAAGGAGCAGTGAGCCAAGGTGAAGGGAAGTGCCTGATTGCTGTCCTCCAGGGACCCCGGCCTCAGGCTGTGCCCACCTGCCTTGCACACACCCCGCGAGCTGGTGCTTGTTCCTCTCCCTTCCCTCCTGTTCACCTTCTTCCTTCATTTCATCCTCAGGTTTGGAGGTTCCACTGGGGCAGACCCTTCAAGAAAGCCTTTCCCTGGCCACCACCACACACAGCCCAGGCCTGGGCCAGAGCCCCTCAGGATGGGCCTTCGGGGCACCAAAGAAGCCACCTCTGAGCAGAGGGGCCTGGCCTCCGGGGCACAGGCAGTGCTACTGCCCATGTCCCGTCACTTGCCCCTGCTCACAGTGCCCTCACCCCTCAGCTCCCACCACCCCCGGCAGTGGTTTCTGTGGGGAGTGGAGGTCACCAGAGTGCCCTGGTCGTGGACTACCATGTCTGGAGAAGTCATTCAGACCTAGCCCCCACCCACCTGGAGTCAGGTGTATTCCAGCACAGCAGTGCCGCAGATCCAGGCGCTCAGTGCTCACGGGAAGTGCTGGCTCTTCACTGTAAGGAGCAAGCCCACAGGCCAGGCGGATGCAAGCCCCAGCGGTGGGGAGGCAGGCTGACGACTGGCCATCTGCTGGGACAGGTGCCAGCCGACGGCCCTCAGCAGCATCAGTGGTCAGAGTTCCTGGGCGCGCGGGGGCGTGGGAACAGTGGAGAGCACCACCTGCACCTGCTCCTGGCTCGCAGCCATCATAGCCGTCATCTGGGTGACAGCTTCCCCGGGAGGTGAAATACTGCCCTCTATTCAAGGAGAAAGAAAAGAACAGGAAGGGACAGATTCCTCACGACAGCCCAGTAGGATAGGCATCAGCTGCCTGCTCCCCACTCAGAGGAGAAACAGGCTAGGAGGAGACAGGTGGGAACACCAGTGTATCTTATGGTCCTGCATTCCCTCACCACAGTCCTGGAACTCTGCCTACTTTGACCTAGAGAGAAAACGCTGCCAGGCTGTCAAAGGAGCAGAAAGGACCAAAGGGGTTTCACATGATGAAAGCAGAAAAGTGAGGCTGTGTGTCTTCTCTTAGCCATTAATAGTGGCAAAGCCTCAGCTTCCGGCCGTCTTTGGCCAAAACCAGCTCATGAGCTGCACCTGCCACCTGCTGGCAAAACTAAAACCTGCACATGTGATTTTTCTCTGAAAATTAGTTGGTAACCTTCCGTAGACGTTCTGTACTCCAGTTGCCACTTAACCAGCACTCTCCATTCTGTCTGTAAAACGTACTGACTTCTGCCTGTAAAGCACTGAGCACTGACGCTGGGGCTCTGGCCTAGTACCTTGTCCCTATCCACTCCGTTCTCCCCAGCTGAGTTACATTTGTAGAAGCTGTTTTCCAAACCTGTAGATTCCTTATATCTAGTACATCATTTAATATTAAGTAAACCAATGAATTATAAACGTGAAAGGATAATCAATTTTTTGAAAACCTACATGAATGCTTTAGACTTAGTAAAGGCAACTTAACTAAAAAAAAATCTGTCAAATCACGGATGAATCAACCATGCAAGAATGGAAAATTGGTAAAAATCTAAGATTGTAGTCTCAAATTACTCCAAAAGTGTTCTAAAATTTGTGCCTGACTCTAAAGAAAAAACTGGGAATTTTAAATCTCATATTGAAAAAAAGGGAGTTGTCTTATTTTAAAAGACTGACAAATGTCCCTTTTTAAAGAAGTTAGAATACGATTTTAAGGATGTATGTGTATGAAAGAGACAGAGGCAGAGACAAAGACAGAGGGGGAGATATTTCTCACTTTACCTGGCTGTTGGAATAATGGACCAGGCGTGAACCGTGTCACTACACGCAGTAACAGGGCTTCAGAATGGAGCACAGGATCCAGGCTCCCTGACCTGTGGGCAATAAATGGAGTAACAATGACAACAGATTTCACCAGCTCCTCTTCCTTTCGATGCAGGGCCCCCAGCCCCCTGAAGAGTTCCCCCAATATCCTGTGTAGTTCTGCCACAAAGGGACAGTGAGAGGTGGCAGCAGTGGTGTGGGGTAACTGTCATATCTACTTAGCTGTGAGCTTGTACATATGACACAGTGTCCCTGTGACGGAACTGAGACTGAGGGACAGGAAGGGGCAGCCATGCAAACAGACAGCTGCAGGCAGAAGGGGCAGAGCTACAGACGTTTGCACAAGTGCCAGCGCCCCCTGCTGGCATGGTGGGAGGAGGACGGGGCTAGAGCCCAGCAGGGGCCAGACACTGTAGGGCCCTGCCTCCCACGGTGGAGTTTTTATTTGAAGGGATATAGAAGAGCATTCAAGGGCTTTAAATAAATGGACATGAATTGGCTTACGTTCCAACCAGGCTCCTTTGGCCACCGGTGAGTAGTGGAGGAATTTGGGGGCTGGGAGTGGGAGCAGGGCAACTAGTCAGGGAACTGTCAGCGTGGTCTAGGCCACGTGTGGTAGAGTGACAGGCTGGAAGCTAGACAGGAATGGGGTGAAGACTGAGAGGTGAAGGGAGGATAGCGTGCCCAGACCGGTCTCTCCAGAAGTGCTGACGTGAATGGGAGCAGGTGGGAGCAGAGAAGTGGGGTGGTACAGTGGAGGGGCAAGGGAGAGCTTTCCAAGAAGGGGATTACTGGAGCATGCTCATGTGCTGCCGAGAATGATCTAGCAGAGGAGAGGCTGCTGAGGAAGAGAACAGGGCAATAACGAGGAGGGGAAGTGCGAAAAAAGGCCAGAAAATGTGGAAGGGTTGGCTTCGGAGAGAGGAGGTAGGAAGACAGAGAACCGGGGCACAGTTGTAGGTGGGTTTACGTGCTAAAATCTCTCAGACATCCTGAAAAATGAGAAACATGCTGCTCCTTCAATTAACAGCCCCCAAATTTATTTGACCACACAAAACCCTTTGTTCACATAAAACTTCTCAGGCAGTAGAGCACAGAGGTTAGAGATGAAAATTGGAGCCAGACTACTCAGATTCAGATCCTGGCCCCATTGGATCGTTAGCTGTGCAGCCATGAGCAAGTTACTCAACATCTCTGTGCCTCAGTTTCATCACATAAGAAGGGAGAGTAATAGTTCCTACCTCATCAAGTTGTAAACTCTGTGAGCTCATATGGCCAAAGCACTTTGTGCCTGGCATACAGTAAGCTCTCCACGAATATTGCTACTAATTCAGCACAGAACTTGTGTTCTGTGTGACAAACTTTGGGAACTGCTGTTAGGTACTGAAGGGTTTGAGGAAAGGTGGGGCAGGATAACCACTTTGGCTGCACGTCTGCCCTCCTCCACCTCCTCACCCCTTTCTGGCCTCCATCAGGGTCTCCTGATGTCTGCCTGGTTCCCTTTTTAGTAACACCCTGAGAGCCTGACCTCCCTGATTCTTTGCTGCACGCTGCCTCCCGTCACCGCTGCTCCTGGTGGAGGGTTGGGGATGTCGGTCTCTAAGCAGCTGATAACGAACGGAGGGACCATAACAGAATCATCTTGGGAAGCTCGTAAGAAGACCAACCCTCTCATGGTGCTATTTCTGTCAGAATCACCTTCTTTCTTGAGCCCCTCCGAGAAAACAGCTATGGAGTTTTGGCAACTTGCTGTAGGTGAGGTGCCTAGGGTGAAGCCAGGCTTCTACTTTGGGTATCTGGTGTCAGAGCACATGTCCTCGTTACTACAGTAATTTCACAGCGTTGTATGCAATTCCCTTATACCGCATCTTGAGGGCCATGCATAGTGGATGTCAGAGGACAGAAACGGCGTAGAAGGCAGGTCCTAGTCATTAGCTTACACAGCCCAACATTTACTGAACGCCTACTTCCCAGGCACCGTGAACTTGGAGTAAGACAGGTTCTTCCACCCAGGGGATTCCGGGGCGAAGCGACAGGAGCAGACAAGCACACAGGATGTCCTCACAGAATGACTGTAAGAGGCACACAGCATGCTGCTGTCTTACGTCCTCTATGGAACAAAGCAGGG